GCGTTGATCTATACGCTCCCCAAGTGGCGGCTTGCTTTGGCCAAACTGAGCCTCAGCACTATATATGGATTTGGTAGGTCGCTGCACTTTTTTATAGACTGGAGGCCCGTGAACCTTGACTGAAGTAATTCACGGCCCACAATTATGTTATGTTCAGCGCACTAGCGGACAATTACCCCCGATAGGGGAGTTGTTGATCGTTATAAGTGTGCAGCATCCTAGTGACCGTATCCTATTAATACGGCAACCCCTCGTGCAGGAAGTACCCGTTTCTGTTGCTGTTTGGACATATATCTCTGAGGAGGGATCAGTGACGGAGCGCGGAACGTCAGGCGAATAAATGATTTTTCCTAGTGATCGCATCTTCTTCTCAATTAGCTCTTGGGACTCGCAAGTCCGTTTGTATTGACAGCAGCTACTCTAAGATGAGAAGAATAAAAGTGTGGTACAGTTAATTTTATCAAAGTAAACATTAGCAGCCCTTAGAAAGTTAATAAGTGCATTATCAGCATAAACCGAAATTTGCACAGATTGAGTACCATTTAGATGTCGTGGATGTGGAGAATGAATAGAAAAGAAAATAGGACTGTGCGTTTAATTACGCCACTAGTCTCGATCAACAACCTGTAAGACATCGGCCCCGATAGCTCAATTGTTAAGGCGTTCAGTTCCAAACTCGAGTGTGGCGGAGATTTCCGCTGCTACACTGGAGTAGAGTATTTCCATCTGATGACGCCTGCTGAGGCAGAAAAGGCCTTCGTGCGAGTCTCTTGTCTACCGATAGAATGTCCTAAAAATATTACTGAAACATAGTAAGTAACATTTCAATTAGCCATGTGGCAAAGTTCGGGGGTTCCCGAACACACAGGACATCAAAATCCAGGGCGGGTGTGCCCTGTGTCTGATCGGTGTACGCATATCTGCTAATTACTGGATATATTCCCTGATTCTGTGATCTTATTCTCAATTCAAGAAGTAACTTTCCGTTTTTATTCTATTAGTTATCTCGAAGGAAAGAAAGCCGCAGCCGATATCTCTGATTCTGAGTAGTCAATAAATAAACAAACTAATTGTTCTGGATTAGCGAAGGCTAACTTGATTGGTTAGCAACAGCTATGCTCTGATATGTCGATTGCGCATTTTCTGACTCTAAAGACAAACTTTCTCAGTGGGACGCAGAATGTTGCAGAGTTGTGAGTCTGCCTGGACTCTCTCTTTAGGAGTACTAGTTGGGGATCCGGGAATTTCTTGCATTATCAGATGAATCTTCTGAGTTCCTGCACTGAGAATTATAACTCTTAGGTGCCATAGGCCGCATATTATTTCGTCCCTGTTTCGCTGACGCTATACCTGTCTTTTAACATAACAGGAACTGTTGCGATCTCCAAAACGCTGATGCTACCTGAGAAATATCTGGTAGAGCTAGCTTCGTCGCTTTGGTCTGTGGCGTTTTCAGAACAGATGACTCTAATGACTTTAAAATCTTTTAAGATAACTTGCTCGAAAGTACTTCTCATATTTTCATAGAGGAGGCCTATTATTTCATCAGACTGATTTCTTTTATTGCAAGCGGAGGTGCCCCTGATTTATCTGCTACAACACTGCCGGTCAAGGACACGGGGAAGGCTGCAAATTTACACGTATTTGCAAGTCTTTTCATGGTATCATCTACTGGACTGGGTTTTCCTTCACTTTATAGATATAATAGCTCAATGTTTAAGGCGTTTGTCGCTGACTGGAAAGATCGCGAGTTCGAAACTCGAGTGTGGCAGCAGCTTTAGCAGCAACATTGGAGTTGGGTATCACTACCTGATGACGGCAAATAAGGCAGAAATGGCCATTGTAGTGTCCCATGTTTTTGTCGGTGATGTCCTTCTGCAGATATGGAATTTGAATAAATTATAGCAGTATGTTTAGCATCCAGGAACTGAGCATTATTGTAAGTTTGACGATTTGCAAGTTCGTCAAGGATTCCTAGCGGATCACAGGGGGAATGATCGTTCTACCCAGCAGATGTTAGTAGGGCTTTTGTAGTAAATAAAGTCTGCATGAGAATCCATCCATCCCCTCGAATGCCGCGAGTTTCTTCACAATTGGTCAAGTAAA